ATTGAAAACCACACATATATAGAAACACGCAACTTGTATATTTCTATAGCTACAACATAAGGTTGTTATAGTTCATCCAGGTCTGTGTTTCAGGGGACTTTAAATTGTTTTGAAAACCACACATATATAGAAACACGCAACTTGTATATTTCTATAGCTACAACACTAGGTTGTTATAGTTCATCCAGGTCTGTGTTTCAGGGGACTTCAAATTGTTTTGGGAAATGAAATAACAGTTTTTGTGTTAATTTCAACATAACGTTTTTACTAGTGTTAAAACAAGTTGAAGTCATGCCACAGAACCATTTAAAATGTTTCGCACTTGTCACAAAATATACTGTAGACTGGGATCGCCGGGAGCTTTCATGAGCCTGAGGAAAATTTCCCGGCCTCCCCGCCCTCTCGGCGGGCCTATTGGTAGAGAATGAAACGGAGCTGTTAAAGAACATTAATTAATGTTTTTGGAGCGAACTTTACCTTCTGACTTTTACGACAAAAATTTTAACTATTGTATGTGATTTTTTTTAGATGTTTGACGACTATTATCACCTCAAACATCACCAAGTGTCAAAACGGTCAGTAGAACCTAGCCTTCACCACCACGAAACACTCCATTCAGAAAAACAGGTATGTTTATAGAACTTTCATGCTAATCATATGTAGTATTAACGTATGCTGTATAACAGATGTTGCTGTGGACAGGTTTCAATCATAAAAAAACGTAGTCATTCGTTTTGTAGTTCTACCAAACTTTTTACCAAATACATAAAACTACGTGATGCTACTTAAGTCGAAGTTTTGATAATGAACATATATCAATTAAAATATTACTCGCTGTAATTTTAAAATATATTTATTTAGTTGTAGTAAACAAGTATTAAGTTTACAATACAACCTCTGTTAATTTTTTTAGCACTTAGGACTTTTATTACCATACTTTTCATTGCTTTCTAATGACTTGTTTAGGTGAAATGGTTTTCTCAGCAAACCCTGAAAAGGCGATCGAAGCGTGATTTGTCCTCTTTTGAAGTTCCGTACTTGAATGATCCGAAGTGGAAGGATATGTGGTATCTGGTAAGGTGATCTTTTCCGAGTGTTGACCAAACTTCCGCCATATATGGCGTTTTTAAGATGATCAAATATGACTACACTTTTGGTATTACTTAAGAACTTCACTATAATGTTCTGTTAAGCCTAACGACTAGACCACACTTTAGATATTGCTTAAGAACTTCTTCATAATGTTCTGTTAAGCCTAACGACTAGTCCTATTTAGTCAGAGCTCCTAGTGTATCTGTTTGAAATGCTTCGCTAATCTTCGAGACCCAAGCCTTGTCTCTTGACTGAGTAAAACACGGAGGTGTTTGTAAAATAAAACTACGCATATTGTTTCTCAGAATATGCTGAAAACTAACTATTGTATTTGAGTATATTTTTTTAGACACGCCAACGAAACAAGAAAACTTCTTACTTGGCTACGAGAAGCCATTAAGAGAATCAAATGTATTTATTTAAACTTTCGCAGGAGTGTTAGAAAAACTCGTAACGTACTGCTGATATTAACTTCATTTGTATGAAAGGGCACGTACACGGAGCCTTCGATTTTCAAGAAAGCCATCTTAATTTTAAATGTCAGTTTTTCACTTTTTGTTTCTTCTAGAACAGAGGAAATAACCTAGATATGAATGTGAAACCAGCGTGGGATATGAAAATATCTGGTAAAGGTGTGGTAGTCACTATACTGGACGATGGACTAGAAAAGGATCATCCAGATATTAAAGAAAACTATGTAAGAATAAAACTTTTCAAAGATTTTAAGTCTATGGTGATTATATATATAAAAAAAAAGATCCCAAAGGTTAAGTATTCAGCATCGTGTTCGTTTTCTATACACTTTACGTAGATATAGTAAATCAGAAAGAAGTTTGTGTTTCCTGTGGTTAAAGTGAGGCGCAGGCATACCGAGGAGGGGGAAAATGACGATATAACAATGATAT